TTCTATCCTCACATTGGTTCATTCTGCTGCACAGACTTTCGATGGAGTTTTTAATCTCCTGGAAATCTGTTTGCATCTGTTTTACGGATTCCATTTGTTTCCTATGTTGGGATTCCATCATGTTCCTCAGTTCCTCTATTTTTTTATCTGAGTCCTGTCTAGATTTATTAATCATGTCTTGCACTATGAGCACAATCTTTGCTATTATCTGAATAATTATTTCTGATTTAATTTTTCCCAGATCCTCTTTTGTTGCCAGTTCAGAGAGTGCAGGTGGTTGAGTATCAGATTGTTCCATCTGGTTTCCCTTTGGGGTTGCTGTAGGTGATCCGGAAGTCTGTCTTTGAGGCTTGTTTACATGTCTTCTGATTTCCACGGGGTGGGGGTGGGGGGTGCTTCTGGCACCTGCGCAGCTCACCTTTTCTGCCCTAGGAGAATGGAATGGTAGTGGGAGAGCTCCCTTCTGGGTGCTGGGACCGGCTCACCTTCTGTGCCCTAGGAGCATGGAATGCCAGTGGGAGAGCTCCCTTCCAGGTACTGGGACCGGCTCACCTTCTCTGCCCTAGGAGTGTGGGATGGCAGTGGGGGAGCTCCCTTCCGGGTGCTGGGACCAGCACACCTTCTCTCTCTGTTAGATCTTTCTATGCCCAAATATCACAAAGCTGTCTTAACAACATTAAAACTTTCTCTAATTTGCAAATATACAATACTACAGCCCACTTTTCTATGGTAAAAGAGTTTACCTTTGGATGGAAGCTCAATGATCATTTTTAATTTTCATAATTGGGCATATTAAACCATTTAAACGTTTAACAAAGTGAGCTTTGTGATTGAACTTTACCTTGTCTTGAGGAAAGACTTTGTTCTGCCTTCGCCAAGTGATATAGTGAATGCCTCTCAGCCTGGCCAAGTCTAAGTAACAGCGCTCATCTTCACAGTTGTATCTAAAGACAAAGGGTGTCACAATATGAGCCCTCTGGGCAGATTTTGGCCCAATCTACAATTCTGCACCTCCAAAATATGTTCTTGCAAAGAGTTTTGTGAATGGTAAAGAAATAAAGAGGACTGACAAAAGTCATTTTAAAATATTTTTAGGGCTCAATGGTAAAGTGCTTGCTAGCATGAGTGAGGCCCTGAGCTCCATTTCTACCACTGAAAAATAAATTTTTTAATACAAACAAAGTAAAAAGAAAAAAATCTAAGAACTTTACGTTACCTTTACAAAAAGAATAAAAATAAGGAATGGAAGGGGATGACCTAATTCAATAGGTACTGCTACCTGTGAACTTACATTATCTTATAAGCTAGTATCCCTATACACTTGTGAAAGTAGACTAGGGAGGTAACACATCCAAGGTTGTACAGCTAGTTAATGAAGGAAGCAAAACCTAACTCTCAAATATATTCCTCTCCCTTTCTCCTTTCTCCCATCCTTCCCTCTTTTCCTCTAGGAAAAATGAGTTAAGATAAAATCCACAATTCTCTGACTGTGTCTCCAATATATATTGTTTTAAAATGTTTTGTATACACTTGGAAGTTTATAACAACTTTTCTCTTAAGTACTCTCCTATTTAAAATACTAAGTCATTTAAAAATACAATGAAGTTATTTAGACCCAAAAGGAAAAAATAAAATAACAGGAATTGCTATAAATGAGTCAAGAACTACAGATGGGGCATGGTGCCAAGAGTAGATGTACGAAGGGAGGGAAGGCATTGTTATGGTTGAGATCCAATATGTTTCCCTAGAAAGGCTTGGTTGTTTATGGGCTTTTGGGAAGGGACTGAATTATGAGGGCTCTATCTTCATAATTTGATGGCATTAAGGAGGCACTAGAAATAGGAGGTAGGACCTAACTGAAGGGAGTAGGTCATGGGGCATAACCTTAGGGACTCTATCTGCTCCCCAGCCCCTCTCTCTCTAGTTGTCTCATAATCTCTGCTGCCTGGCTGCTATGAGATGAGCAGCTTTCCTCTGCCATGTTTCTACCTCACCTCAGGCCTAAAGCAATGGAGCCAGCTGACCATGGACTGAAACCTCTGAAGCTGTGAGCCAAAACAAGGCTATCCTCCTTTAAGTTGTTTTCTTGGGTATTTTGTCACAGCAACAAGAAGCTGACTAATGCAACCATGTCTCCATAACCAATAGCTGAGATAGAGGAATGCCCTGGGCAAAAATTACTTGCTCCTGAAGGCCTCAATTTACTTAAGGAAAGAATTACCAAGCAGTAAGTGAGGTGGCTGAGCTTGTGTTTCAGAGGTATTCAGGCAAGTGTTCTACCACCAAGCAACACCCCAGTCCCAAGTTTCTTTTTTAACAGTAATAGTGCTACTGAGATGCCCACAGTCTAAGAGGCATACAGGAATGAACTCCCTTTTTCTCAATCCTATTGGACCAGAGGTAACGGGTAGAGGGGGACAGGTGGCTTACTTAGTGCCTTGGCAGGCTGGAGGCTTTTTTAGCTTTAGGTATTTTTTCTTTCCAGATACCCATATGATATAATATGTCTGTAATGATTAAATATTAAACTTTCTGATGTTCAGAATCAAAGTCTTAGCATGCCTAACAGCATTATCAACCACCCACATGGAAAGCTGCCCCTAAACACTTACAGTTCGAAGACTGCAGCCCAGTCTGGAAGGAAAAGTAAATGCGTAAGACCAGCTCCATGCATTCCAATAAATATGTCTGTGTTGTGTGTTATCCTGAGTTGATCTAAAAACCCAAGTTCTCTGTAACATGTAGAACAATACAAGAGAGACAAAGAGAAGGGAGAAGCCTAATTTGTATCAGCTCATGATTCATGGTAACAGTATTTACAAAAGTATATTTCCTAATTTATTTTTATTTATTTATTTATTTTTGTACCAGGGATTGAACTCAGGACCTTTTGCTTGTGAGGCAGGTAGGTTACCACTGAGCTAAATGCTTGGCCCTATATTTCCTAATTTAAATCAAATTCCACAGCTACATTTTTTTGCCAATTTTATGCACACCGTAGTAAACAATAACTTATTTTTAACAGTTTAACATTTTTTTTCTATGTAAATGCACTTACCTTTTTAGACTTAAGAATCCAGTGGTATCTTGGTTCAGAAACATTTTTGTTTACAAACTCTGCACTGGGTGACAAACATGACTGTGGCTATCTTTCCCACACAAACATAAACATGGCCATCTTTTCCAAAATCATAGAACAAATTAAGTTCATAAATTGAGGTACCACTGTTCTTATTTGAAGGAGAAATTTAATAGCTGGGAAACCAGTAACACACAACATCAACAAAGTAGGTGTGTGATATTAGATTAAGGGTGTATGGTACTGGATCAGCCCACTGATTGGATTAGCATGGTTCTGGATGTGGGTGAATGGATTTACTGAAGACAGAAGACCCACCATGGGTGTGAGTGGCAACAACCAATAGTCTTGTAGCCTAAACGGAATAAAAAGGGAAAGGGAATCTCACTGCCACTGCTGCCTCCTGCCTGCTGTGCCATAAACTGTTTCTTCTCTGCCATGTCCCTCTGCCATGCTGCCATGCCTTGTAACCACCTAACTATGGATTGAAACCTCTATAAACTGTGAGCTAAAATAAAACTTTGCTCCTTTAACTTATAGGTGTTGGGTACCTTGTCCCAGCAATGAGAAAGTAATTAAGACAGATGGTGTCTGCCTATCCTTTCTAGGTATTCAAGTACCATAGCTCCCATTGGAAAAACACTTTCTACCCACCATTAACTCATTCAAGCACAAGGCAGCAGGGCTTGCCTGAGTGTGGTTTTTACTTACTTATACTTGTAATCAACAATTTGCACTTCAAATGTAGATACTGTTTTCAGTGCATTCACAAGCTAAGAAAAAAAGAGAAACAGTTAGAATTTCTTTTTCTTTCTTCTATTTTACTTCCCTTTATGAAGGAAATTTCTTATTTTTTGCATATAATATTTTTCAGGTGTTAAATATCTTTTGGGTCTACTGCCCTAAATCTTATTGGAGTTCAAATGCTAACACCAGCCCTTAGCACATGACTCCACCACCGTAAAACCCTGATCCCCTAGGTGGCCATGAGGCTGAAAAGAACACAGTTCATGGGACAAAATGCTCAACACAGCAATATACTAAGTTGCTAGTTTTTCCTTCAACTTTCAACATACATTTGTTAGACATCTACACTGTTCCAGATATTGTGCTAAGACTTCCTATCCATTGTGTCATTCACACAAACCACTAGCACTTTGTACCTATCCTCTGAAGATACTGAAGTCTTACAAGAAAAACATTTTCAATATTAGTACATAGAAAAGTGATTATTCTTCTAGCAAACAGAAAGTAACCAAACATGATTAATATATTATAAAAAGCATAGTCCCTTGAAAAGACACCTAGTGTAACCCAATACTGTGGTTCACCATTCAACAATTCTTGCACTTGTATCAGGTGGCCCTGTGGCATACACTAAACTGCAACAGCAACATCACTGACCAGAGCTGGTGGCACAGCTCAGTGGAGAGCACTTGCTTCCCATGTATAGGTCCTGGAATTCCATCCCCCAGCACCACCCCTCAAAAGGCACTGACGATATGCGTACATTGTGTAAGCATTTCTTTCGTTTGTTTGTTTGTTTTTTGGGGGTTTTTTTGTTTTCCATCATCCATCTTTTATTTGTTCTTTAAGTTATATGTGCTTTGGGCTTGTTTCCATGTGAGAAGCCATGTAATATTTATCCTTCTATGTCTGATTTATGGCACTTAATATTATCATATCAAGGTGCATTCTTTTTCCTACAGACGATTCAAATGTATCCTTCTTTACAGCAGGGTATTATTCCATTATGCTTAAACACCATATTTCTTTCTCTGTTTTTCTGTTAATGCATCTATATTGCATTTCCAAGATATGCTTATTATGAATTGTGCTGCTTTATACATGGACATGCACGGGTCACCATAAATTCCATCTTTAAGTCTTTCAGGAAGATTCCCATAAGACATGTAGCTGGGTTAAGTAAAGTTTCTGTCTTTTTGTGTAAGCATTTCTAAGGGCTTGGAGTTTACATAACCTAATCCCCATAAAAAATCACACCAAGTGAAACCTGTTCTATAAATGGCACCATGAAGGCTTAAAGAAGTTAAATAACTTTCCCAAGATCTCCTGGCTGGCAAATGCAGAACTAAAATTAAACCTAGGTCTTTTGCTCCTAGAATCTGTGTACTTAACCAGTGCTCTCTACTCTGCAACAGCCAGTGACCAAAATCTAATCTCTGCCACATTTTACACACAAACACACACACACAATCATATGATCATAAAACGGAAGTTTCTCTCTCTAGACAGCCCCTGGGCTCCCGTGAATATATTGCTTACATCAAAGAGTTGAAGGAGTGAGATTAGAATTCCAGTTTTCCAGGAGGGAATTAATCAGATGGCATAAGCCTGGGTCCTTTAATGAGATGTGCTCACATAAAAGGAAGCACATGCCTGTGAGTCCCACAGCAAATATGCTCTTCTTCACAACTTCTAGTCACACTGTCCAGACTTTGCAGTGGTGCAGGATTATGCTGTCATTTAATCAGAGCATTTGGGTCTTACTCTCAGTCTTATAGCCTGCACTACACCTCTCTACTGACTTCTGTACTTCTCTTCAGTGGCTCCATGCTGGTCCCCAGGCTAATGGCCTGGGGTCAGAATAGATTCAGCCTCCTCTAAGATATATTTGCTGTTGGACCGCAGAACACTTTGGTGAAGAAAGCCATTTCAGAGCCAGGTTACCCTGATGATACCCCTACTTCCCTACTCACTAGCTGGGTGACCTTATGCACATTTTCTAACCTCTAAGCTTCAGGGCCCTTATCTACAAAAGAGGGTAATAAAATACTGACCTCAAGGGTATATTGGGAGGGTTGAGGGACATCATGCGGGTGGAAAACATACTTAGTATCTACTCTGTATTTCCTATACTGGAGTATACTCTTGACCTGTTGGCTATTGAGGCTTCCCTTCCATCTTCCCCAATACTGTTATTACTGGATATGCCATCAGCCCCCTATACCCATGATTTCCACATCCATGGATTTAACTAACATCAGATCAAAAATATTTTTAATTGCATCTGTACTGAACGTGTAGAGACTTTTTCTCATCATTATTCCTTAAACAATATACAACAACATTTACATAGCAGCACTCACATTGTAGCAGGTATTACAAGTAATCTAGACATCACTTAAAGTACACAGGAAGATGCGTGTAGGTCTGATGCAAATAGGACATCATTTTATGTAAAGAACTTGAGCATCTATGAAATTTGGTATCTGCAAGGCAGACCCTGAAATCAACACACCATGGGTAGCCAGGAACGCCTGTATTTTTAATTCTGAACACACGCACATACACTGCTCATTTCTTGCACCGTTGTAGCTTATCATAAATGCCTCATTATGCCATATGTTCATGTCTGCATGGCTCTTGGAAAGAGATGCTCACTACATCATTTTGACTATGAGGCATTCAAATTAATCCCCCCAAAATATTTTACCTATCAAAACCCACCCTGTTTCCCTCTTACTAAATTTGCTCCATTTTAATTCTACTTAAGTGCTCGAGCTAAAAGCCTATGAACCACACTTGATTCTCAGTACCTTTCCCAGCCCCACCTAATGCACTGCTCCACATTCCAAAAGTACCATAGGTCATATTCCCAAACTATATCTTGAATCCATTTATCATCTCTACAGTCATCAACTTCTTCCAAACTCTTTCCCCTGGGCCACAGTAACAGCTTCTGATCAATCTCCCTGTTCCTACTCTTGCAGCAAGAGCAATTTAAAAGTAAATAATAAGTCAATTCATGTCTCTCCCCCATGTATGTTTTCTATTTGCTTCAGTAACAAATTACTACAAACTCAGCAGCTTAAACCAACATGACTTTTCCTATAGTTCTGTTGGATCAAAGTTCAACATGGGTCTTTCTAGGCTAATACAAGCTGCTGGCAGGCGTGCATTCCTTCTAGACTATGTCTTCCCTAAGAAGCTGTAAGGGAGAGTCTATTTTCATGATTTTTCCGGCTTCTAGGCATGGTCTACGTACTGAGGCTTGGGGCCCCTTCCTCCACCTTCAAACACAGCAGTGCTGCTTCTCTGTTCATGTCTCCTTCTCTCGCTCTCCTACTTTTATTTTTTTAATATACTGTAGGATTGAGCCCAAGGCCTTTACACAGAGCTACATCACCAGCCCTTTCCTCAAATATTTTGAGACAGGGTCTCACTAAGTTGCCTAGGCAGGACTAGAACCTGCAATCCTCCTAAGATTATAGTGTTGAGGTTACTGGCATGCGGCTCCATGCCCAGCTGCTCTCCTACTTTTAAGGAAATGATGAAATATAATCTGATCTATGAGATGAAGCCACTAGGAAAAGAGCTTTTCAGGCTAAGGCAAATTATGGCCCATTTGTGGTTATACTGGGCCCACCTGGATAATTCCGAACTATTTCCTGTTTAAGGCCAGCTGATTAGCAACCTTAATTCCACCTACAACCATAATTTGCCTTTGCCATTTAACTCAACCTATTCACAGGTTCCTGGGATTAAGACGTGGGCATCTCTCAAAGGACAGAGAGCACACCATTCTGTCCACTCACACCCTGCTTAAAACTTCTGGGCAGCTTCTCTCCACACAGAACTAAAACCCATCTCACCACAGTCCACACGACTAACAAGATATGGCCTCCCCGACCAGACCTGGCTTCTCTGAGGTTTTCTGACACCACTGCCCCCTCCCTCTGGAGATGCTGCAGCATCCTTGTGCTCTCAACTCTCCTGGGAGGCTCATTTCTGCTACAGTCCTCGCTGATGAGGTCTCCCACCAGGCAACACCTCTTCAGACATTTGCCGTCTGCCTCCCTCTCACACCAGCATCCCCAGTCTCTGTCAAGTTGCCCTAGTTTACTCCCTTCACAGTGTTTGTCACCACTTGACATCACCTTCCTGTCTGACTTACTTGCTCATTTGTTCATGCCCGTCTTTCGCCTCTAGAGTATGAGCTTTAGGAGGGCAGGGGCCTTTCCTGTCTTTCCTCTGTGTCCAAAGCTGAGAGTGTGACCTGGCTCATGTCCAGTGCTCAATGTACTTTTCTGGGGGCCGGGGGTGCTGGGGTCTGAACTTGGGGATGACCACTGATCCAATAATTGAACCGGGCAAAGGCCATCAAGCTTTTCAAACAAGTAATAGCTTCAAAGCAAAGCTATTAATATAACAGAAGAAATAAAGACATTAGTCATGGGAGATAAATTCAATACAATGATATTAAAAACATATATCAAAAAACTAACTTCATTTTGGTTTAGTATTTTTCGGTATTCTGTGCTCCGGGCAAGAATAGTGACTCGAATTTTTCCATCCTGTAATTAAAAAGAAAAGGTAAATAACGCTGGATGTATCTGGATCAATGAATGAACATCTGAACCACAAATGTGATTTTTCACAAAGATGAGTCAATAAGGTTATACTTATGGAATGATTAATTTTTAGCTCATTCCCTCACCATTCTCTGACATCACAAATATATCCACTTTAAAAGAAAATGTGGTACATATACACAATGGAATATTACTCAGCTATAAAAGAGGAATAAAATCCTATCATTTGTGGTTACATGGATTGGCCAAGCCAGGCCTGGTCAGAGAAGCCACATCACGGACTGTGGTGAGGAGATGGAATTTAGATCAGTGTAGAGGGAGGCTACCCGTGAACAAAACTCATATTTTGTTTAGTGAAGTCACACAGAAAGACAAATGCCACATGTTCTAACTCCTCTGTGGAAGCTAAAAAGTTGATCTCATAGAAGCAGGCAGCAAAATACAACAGTGGCTACCAGAGGGAATGGTGTGGAAAGAGGAAGGCAGAACGGGTTAACAGGTTTGGAAATATAGTTAAAATAGAAGCGTAAGATTCTAGTGTTCTGTGGCACAGTAGGGTGTTATGGTCTGTGCCTAGGTGTCCCCACAAAGCCTCATGCAGTCACAAATGGGGCTTTTTCAGAGATGGCTGGATCTGTAGTAGGATTAAGGGTATGTGATTACTAAATTAGTCCATTGATTGGTCTAGTGCCCAGGTAGCCTAGATAGAATATAAAAGGGGCAGAAAGAAGCTGCCATTGTCGCCACTGGTCACTTGCTTATTTTTGCTGTCTTCTGCCCAACCTGACCTGTTTCTCCTCTGCGATGCCCCTCTGCCATGCCTCCCTGCCTTGGAGCCAGCCGATTAGGGACTGAAACGTCTACAAACTGAGAACTAAATAAACCTTTCCTCCTTTAACTTTGGGTATTTTGTCTCAGAAATGAGGAAAGTAACTAAGACAGTAGGGTGACTGTTTAGCAATAATTGTATATTTCAAAATAGCTAGAAGAAAGAATTTCGAATGCTCCCAACAGAGAGACATGATAAATATTCAAGATGGAGGATAGGCTAAATATCTTGGCTTTGATCATTACACATTATATCATGTATTAAAATATGAGACTCTACAGCATAAATATATACAATTATGTGTTGATTAAAAATAAAAATCAAGGTTTGCACTTTAGCCATGGAAGAGAAAACCTACTCATTATGCTGCTGGTTGGCTGTTGGTTCGTAGAGTGGACTCTTGGGAGGGATTTTGTGGGCTGGAATGGGATTTGGAAGAAGCCGGGAGATAACGGCTAAATAAAGGGAGAAAAAAATAAAAACCACATTCTTGCGATATCTTTATCTTTAATGGTTGCTGACACCTGAATTCATACAACTCCAGGTGAGAAAATATTAGCACAGAAAACATTAACCTGATTATTTCCTCTTCTACTAGCATAGTATTAATTTTGATGGGGGGAGGGAACCTCAAACACATCTTGGAATCCACAATGTATCCATTACCTTGGGTCCTTCCTGTGTGATGTTTAGTCTGTACAGCACATGCTGGGAGAAGGCCCTGAATAACCCAGTATTTTGACATCCAGATATCTAAAATGAAAATACCAGTTCATATTACAATGAGCACTTCTGTATTGCCATGCAAGATGCTCTCAAACTATGTACAAATGTTATTGCAAAATGCTTACCAGAGGAGTGTTGTAGAACAGCCCATACCGCATGCGAGGCAGTAAAGAAAAGATAGCTTCTTTAAAACATACCTAAGAATGAAAATATTTTAAAGGATAAGAGAATATCATTTGCACCCTTCACAACAAAATAGCACTTATAATTTTGGAAAATAAGTTCCAATTAATCTCCATTTTTCATTAAAATAGTTTCAATAGCAAAGGATTTCAAGGAGACTAAAATTAATAGTTTTTGAAAAGTTACAGAAAAACATTCTCAAAAGCTACATGGTTCTTAACAATGAGGATTCCAGCTGTAACCAAAGAAACCAAAAAGTCAGACATCAATGGTAATAGCTAATAGAAACTCAAATTAAACATTTATTTCATAAGTAATTCATCTGTATATATGTTATTTACAGACACTTCAGTAAAGTTTCCAATACCCTTTTGGAATCATAAGTTTTCAAGTGTATAACGTCATAGTCAGTAAATGCTTTCCAAGTGTCGGAGAACAGGTCACCATATCCATAAGAGCTCTGGAGGTGGAAACAAAACAAGTTAGGGCAAAAGGATACGACAACAAGAACAAAAAAATGGAATTTTCTTATTAGTGTTAAATTATATTATGATCCTAACTAAGGACATCAAAACCATATAAGACAAATGGATTTTCCTCTGCAGGCTGAGCAAATGCCTAATTTGATGAAATATATTCAGAAATAATCACCACAACCTTCTTCTTAGTGTGTTAATACTGTTTCATTTTTCCACCCTAACCCCTTCCATTCTCATGTTTTTGAAATTATTCTTACGGGGTCTTTCCATGAAATTTCCATCCATATCATACATACACACAATACATATGCACACCAGCATCTGCACTCTGACATGCTCAGTGAGCAAAAAACATCAGGGTAAATGGGTTATCTTCGGAAAGGAATTTCAAAACAAGAAAATGGCTTGAAAAGAACTTTAAAAGTATAATGTATGTAACTATAAAATGTTCTTCCCACTATTGAATAACATTTAATAAGTCCTTGTTAGTATTAATGTTAATGACATTACGTTAACAACATTATATAACAGTAATAGTAGCACCTTGCACCCTTCCCATGTCCCAGGCTTTGTGCTAAGCCCTTAATGCCTTTAACTCATTAAGCCACCCCACAAACCTAGGAGCTAGGTAAGATCATTATCCCTATATTATAGAACAGGAAACTGGGACACAAATTGAAATAATGTGTCTAAATTGTAGAGCTGTAAATTACAGGGCTGGATTAATCTGTCTATGATTTCAGACTTCACGCTCATATATTCCACATGACAGTTGCCTGTCAGCGAGAGCTCATTCTAGTGTATTTACCAAGTGCATTTTCCTTTTTTGAAAAGCAGAAGTTAATTATAAGTTCCATCAGCTAAAGATAGAGATCAATTAATTTTCAAATGGTATAACAGATTAAAATATTCAGCCAAGAGAAACAAGAAATCTGCATTTCAGGGTTATATTCAAAGTCTACAGTTGGTTATATTTGTATTTATTATATTCAAATCTTTTTATCTTCATAGTATTTTTTTATAGCTTAAACATTTTATGCTGCACATATTATAGTTACTTCAAAGTTATTGGGAACCGTTAGATGTAATTTTTTTAAAAAATCCTTCTTTTAGTGTTTCTCCAATGCTATTCTAATAAAGGTCCTTCTCAACACCATCTAAAATGAAACGTCGCTGCTCAGACTCAATAATAAATAAAGGATAATTAAAAGAAGTGGTTCTAGACAATTTCCTAAGATAAAATACTTCAGATAAAATGATACCATTGAAAGGAAATTTTAATAATAAAATAATCTGACTGATGCCTTCTAAAGAAAATAATGCATTATTCAGTAATAAGCACCTCTAGAAGCTTGATCTCTATATCCCTCAAATTCAAATTATCTGCCACAGGGCAAGAAGGGGCTTTTCCCTACGCCCACACTGAAGAATATTTGGCTATCCTGAAGACGACATAAGATTTCTTCCTGTATAGGGCTCAAATTTGAACATACATGCAACCTATAATCTAGAAATTCCACTTACAAGAATCTGACAGAAATGCTATAGTAAGTGTGTGAGGATATGAATAAGTTGGCTATATCCAGTTGGCTGAATATGCAAGTTCTATGCCTGTAGATTCAAGCACTGTGAATTGAAAATATTGAGAAAGCACATGGGGTCTGTACCGAACATGTGTATATTTTTTTCTCATTGTTATTCCTGAAAAAGTAGAGTATAATAACTGTTTACATAGAATTTATGTTGTATGAGGTTCTACAGATAATCTAGAGATGATTTAAAGTATATAGTAGAATTGCACAGGTTATATGCAAGTATTACACCATTTTATACAAGGAACTTGAGCCTCTGAGTATTTTCATACCCACAAGGAATTCCTGATAGATACTGAGGGATGATTATATATATTCCAACAAATAGCATAGAATTAGAAACAAATGAGATATGATTGAGGTGGGGAGGGTGCACACACGCAATCATGCATGGCTCAGATTCCTAAGACACCCATCATATGGAATACCATGTAACTGCTCATAAAAGGATAGCCTGAGCCGAACAACTTGGAGATCTCCCCATGATACAATATTAAGGAAGCAAGATGACAGCATACTTTCTATAGAGATAAATGCACCCTTATACAAATTTTATATGTGATAGCCAGACATGGCGGCACATGTCTGTAATTCCAGCACTCAGGAGGCTGAGGCAAGAGGACTGCCATTAGTTTGAGGCCAGCCTGAATTACAAAGCAAGACCCTGTCTCAAATAAAACAAAAAAAAAGAAAATTTTATATCTATATAACAAGTCCTCATATAAATCCTGATATATCTGTATCTAGATATATTTACATTTATTTATTCAAATGAAAAGAGTCTTGCCAAAATTCACAGACATGCTAACTGAAGTTATCCTTGGGGGACAATGGAATTGGAGGAGACTTTTTAACTTCTGTGTTATTTGAACACATTATAAGAAGAGGTGACTTTCATATTTTAAAAAATAACATAGCTACACTACACAAGAAATTGTAGAAAACATGCAGCAATCTCCTCTTTATCCATTCCATTTAATAAGAGCCATCCCTCTAAGGAAATCTGAAGAAATGTCCTCTCTGTATCTTAAGAGGCTCATGGCTGAGCCGGTCCCAGCACCCGGAAGGAAGCTCCCCCGCTGCCATCCCAAGCTCCTAGGGCAGAGAAGGTGAGCCGTGTGGGCGCCAGAAACACCCCCCTCCCCCATGGAAATGAGAAGACACATAAACAAGCCTCAAAAACAGACTTCCAGATAACCTACAGCAACCCCAAAGGGAAACCAGATGGAACAATCTGATACTCAACCACCTGCACTCTCTGAACTGGCAACAAAAGAGGATCTGGGAAAAAT